TATTTTTTTTCTTTTTTTTTTTCGTTTTTTTTTGTTTTCTATTTTTGATTTACACTCGCCGGCGATTGTGCACTGTGCTCTCCCGCGCGCGCCCAAAGTCAAAGTACGAATTTCCCCTGGAATTCCTGAAAATTGTTTTTGCCAAAGCGTATAATTGTGCTACGATTGAAATAGTTTCCAGCTCGACAATTGAGTAAACGCAAACAGAACGATTAAAGATTTACAAGCAGTTCCACCCCGAGTGAATAATGCAAATCAAGCGTTTTAATCGAAATCTTCTATCGGTCGACACACACACGTCGAATTGTTAGTTATTTCTTTTATTTTTTTCTTTTGCTCCTCGCTGTCCTATTGCAATTTACGGCCAATCAATTAGATCTCGTTAAAACTGTAATTAAGAGCAAATTTTACGCATGTACTTTTCACTTGCAACAATTCCGATGTGGACCTTTCGTCCGATCGCAGCTCATGTAATTAAATCGAATTCTTTCATTTGATAAAATCGGGCGGAAAATTCGATAGAGATTCTTCGCGCAGCGAATCGTGAATAATAAAAATTTCTTGAACCGAGCCAGCAATCAAGATAAACGATTCTTACGTCAATTAACGAGCGAACGACGAAAAAGAAAGCGCAATATCGTCGTAAAGAGAAGATTTCAAGAAGAGACGTACATGCATCAGTCGGTGTAGCTTTCGCGTCGGTCGAGATGACTAGTATCGATAATTTCGCGGCTTGGCAGCAAGTGATTCGCGAATCGCCGGGGAGAGAGAAGCTGCCGCGTCGCGCTCAAAGTTCAGAGCGAGAGAGAGAGAGAGAGAGAGAGAGAGAGAGAGAGAGAGAGAGAGAGAGAGAGAGAGGAGGAAGAAAAAGGTCGATGTATGCATGTAGGTACGTGTGTGCGCGCTGGCAGGGGTGACGCGCGACAGCTGCTGATGCACATCGGAGTCGCTCTCACTACGCATTTACGGGCTGCTCGCCGCGGTAATTGAATTGATCGCGGGGCTTGAGCTGCTCTTGCGGCGCAGCTTCCGCAAAGGGGTTTCTCGCTCCCTCTTACTCCGCTCGTTCACTCTTTCGTTTTTGTTTAATTGGGTAAAGGGCAGGTGATTGATTGGAATGCGACGCGCGCATTTTGACTTTTCCCGATGCGTCGGCGAGGTAGACGTATACTTAAAAAAAAGCAAAGGAATCAGTCAGCTAGGAGTAAAACAATGAGAGAGAGAGAGAGAAAGAGGGAGAGGCGAGAAATGAAAAAGCTAACCGGTTTGCCCGTGTAGACTAGACTTTGTCGAATAGTCGAATTTTTCGGCGACAGTAAAAATGTTTCCACGAGGGGTCGCCACTGTCTGGTGCCTTGCCTTCTGTTCCAGAGGGGCACTGGGTTTCGGTCGTTTGCGTGTTCTCTCGCTGGGTCGCTGTATAGCTCTACGGGATCCCCTACTTTCGATCGGATATCTGCTCGCATGTTCACGTTCTCGCTCGCGCGCGCGAGCGCCCGACACACAAGGCCCCTCAGCCTCGGCATCGATGTGACGACGACCGCACGACCGAAGATCTTGTCTCGCGCCTTTTGATGCCGGGATCTTTCATATTTCCTGTGTGCCCTCTCTCGTCTTTCGGAGAAAGGATTTATCTTACACCTTCGTGATCGACTATCCCTCGAATTTTTTTCCCCAAACACGTGTAATGTACTCGGCTCTTGGCACTGATTTCGAAAATTGAATGTCTTGACGTAGACGTTATGGCGCACGATGTACGCAAACATGGATCGCGGTATTATAGAATTTCAGCTTACAAAAGCGCAATAAATTAATATACGCTTCGATACCTCTCAATAGAGGCACGTCGAGCTTTCCCGTAACTTTCATACGTAACAAAGAGTTGTGTGTGCGTGAAACCGCATCCATAAGTCACGTTGTCATGCATAAATTTTCCGTTTTTTCGCCTTCTCCACGAAAATAATTGAAATTCGAAAAAAGAAAAGCCGAGACAGCCGGAAAATGAAAACTGTAGCGAGTCTCTCTTTCAACGGTAGCGTTAATAAAACGCGAATGGGTAGTTAGAGCAGGCGCTCGCTCTGTCGGATTTCACGTCTAGACGATGCAGCACCTCTCAGCATCTGCGGCTGCAGCGCAAGCAAGAGAGTCAGCAGAGCCCTTCTCCGGCGATCTAGCGGCCACCGCTGCCGCCGCCGCCGCCGCCGCCGCCGCCGTCGCCGCTCGTATAGGGAATGGTGGGGCGCATGCGCCTACGTATACGGACGGTATTGTATACTCCCGGCGGCGGCAGCCAAGTCAGTTCAGTGCCATCCTCCCGGACTGACGGTGCGCGAAAGAGAGGAGAGGCCGCCGCCACGCGATCGTGCCGTGCGCGAGTGTTTCGTATTGAACACAACTACACAAGCGTGTTGGTCTTCTCTATGTGCGGCTGCGAATACAAACTTCGAAGCAAACCTTGAGTTGCTGTTTTTTTAGTGTGCATTGCGGTGAAGAGTATTGTGCTTTCAGCTGTGAGTGTTGTACAGTGATTTTTCGTAATTTTATGGGCGAGCGGAGAGAGAGAGTTGCTTCTTGGGGGTTGACGGAAAAGCGTTGTGTCGACCATGTCAGAAGTTTCGTTGGGAAAAGCGATTGCTTTGCTCGTGTGGTTGAGCATCAGTTCGAGTTATTTTCGACGCTCCTCGCGGTCAACTCTGATGTTGACGTTGATTTGTGCTTGAACTTGTTGAAATGCGACAAATTACACATTTCTGCAATATTGTCTGGCAGAGGCCGTAAAATTATCGACCAGGCGATTATTTCATTAGAAATTTTTTGTTTACTGTCGAGGACTATGATCTGAAAACGTTGAGTCGTTTCGGAGTCGCAAATGCGAAAAACGGCAGAATTTTCAATTCACTACGTGCGATTACGGCATTCCGTGGAAGAACGTATCCAAGTGTTTATTTATCAAAATTTTCGAATTTTCAGATTGAAAATCGATTTCGTAGCGATGGACTTAAAAGTTACCGAATTGCAAGAAATTAACAAAATGTACTTGCTCTACATTTCCAGAAGCAATAAAGGGCTTGAACCGAATACATTTTTTCCAAAAAATTTGATATTCCAACCAACGTCAACGAACTCTCATTTTCAAGTAATTTCGCAGCAAAAAGCTTCATTGTTCTTGATCTACTTGAAAATATCATTGAATATCGTACGTAGCATCAACTACTGACAAAAGACACCGAGAGAAATAACTTTCAATTTTCATCCACTTTGCCCGCGATCAAAATAGTCTCGTGGTTCAAGCAACTTGGTACGTATGATTCATAACCGGGAAAGTTTTTACACATGAGTCGGAAATAAATCGTAAGTAAGCAGTCCGGCACTCGTGAAAATTGAATCACGTCAAATATTTGAAAAATTGAGTTGACGTTTAACGTAAATTGGCGAAACGTGTACGTTTGCTTCAAGCATCAAAATGGCAATTTACGAGATTTATCGATACTTTGGGCTGAGTAAAATTGATAGTCGGATTACGCGAATTATATTTTTGATAAATATTTCAAATTATATGTGTTTTATGACGCGAGCCAGTTTGTCTTCCGAGAGAAAAACGGGCGAAGCTGCCTCGAATTTGGAGTTTGTCGAACGCGCTGTATTCCCATGCGGACAATACAATAGGTTGAAAAATCTTTTCAAATATATATACACGGAAAAGATTTTTTGTGTATCTTCCAAGTTAGTTACGATGCGTCGGCATCGATTTATTGTATAACTGCTGGTTCATTGTACCTTGCATAGGAGCACAAAAATAAAATAAAAAGCGATCTCTTGCCGGATACCGTTAACAACGAAGAACCGAGGTCTCTTTAAAAAAAAAAAAAAAAAAAAAAAATTAAAAATTAATTGGACTTTTTCAAGACAATGAGGGGGTCGTAACTTCCGAGCTGCTTTTCCTCGCCAATAAAAAAGTTTTATGTGAAGCCCTGCAGCATCGTTAAAAACTTGATAAAGGCAAAGTTCTTGATAAGGTTTTCATAAATTATCAGTTTAAAAAAGTCAAGTTGATCTTGATACTTCCGAACTGTCGAGTACTAGTTTACAAAAAAGAAAGAGGAAAGAGTAACGTGACAATCGTTTGTCAGGACGTCGAGAAGAGTAACATTTCACGACCATGAATCATCGAATTTTCAGTTATCTTCGAGACATAGTTTTCCGTGAGACTTCCTACCTGGTGTTCAAAATATTTTCATTTTTCGGCTTTCACTTCCGTCTATTGTGAAACGCAGCGGCATGGGAAACGTAAAAATTCACGTGTCACGCCGTAATAACAATCGCTGGTGCTCATCACGTGGAATATCCAAAAACACGTTTCACGGATAAATCGTTATTCCTTTTGAGTCAGAGGTCGGGGTGGGTTGTCGCTTAGATCCCGTAAAAATTGCTGCTCAGCATTTGACATTTCCGTGTACAGTAGTGCCGGAGCGACGGTAGAAGGGGTAAGCTCGCGCGAGTGTGTGCGGGCACCGGCACTTCTGCGCCGCGCCGGCAGTGATAAAATTTTCATGCTATACTGCTGTATTACTCGCGTTTCCAGATAGCTCTAACTATTATTATCGCAGTGACATGTAGTAATTTACACGTGCTTCGCACGAAGAAATATCGTGTAGTGGGGTGGTAAGGATAAAAAAGACTTGCAAAAATCGTCAGCGAGTTACGATTTTTACAACTAGCAAAGTATTGACGTCGTAAACGCCATTCCTGGGAGGAAAAATGCCTCGTACTGTCTATTTTCCATGTCACGATAAATTACTCAACGTAATCTACATGCACATTTTGTACAATCGCATACGAGATTGACACAAATCGTACACCAATCACGATTTTGATCCGTCGTACTATACGAGATCACAGACCCAACAACAGCAACAAGCAACTCTCTAAAGAAAAAATACAACGACACGAAGAAACGCAAGTGAAAAAAAAATCTGACGAGTGCGTCTTTTTCCTTGCAGATGCTGTAAAGAAGAGATATTTCGGAAAAGCCGTATAATCCTGCGAGAAGAGAGGGGGAAATAATTGGGTCTTTTACGCAGTGAAAGCGAAAAGAAGAGCAAAAACATGATTCGAGCGAGTTTATTGTTGGCCTTGCTGATCCAATGCAGCATGGCAATCGAATGGAAGCACAGCGCAGTGCTGGACAACAACTTCCTCGTGCTATGGACACCCGGTGAGAACGACGTGACCTTCGAAGTGCAGGTCAAGACGCCTGGCTACGTCGGCTTCGGCTTTACTCGTGAAGACGGCAGCGAGGGTGTCGATATGGTGATTGGTTGGGTGGACAACAACGGCCAAGTCCATCTTCAGGTATGTTGACCTTCGCATTGCATCCCTTTCTGTCTTTTTGTCAACCACCGCTGTCGCCGCGTGCTTTAGCAGCAGCTCTCGCATAGTAGCGCTTCTCGATGATTCGTCACAGGCGAAACCACGTCTCCTGTCGCTCTGTTGCCTAAACTTCGGCAAGCTCCCATGCGATTTATGACTGCGGCCCTTTGTCCTCTCTCTCTCTCTCTCTCTCTCTTTCTGACTGCTCGTCGCCCGCGCGCAGACCGATGCCTGTCTGTATGTTTGGATTTGGGACGGTTTTCCAGAGATATATGCTTTCTTCCTGCTCCGTTTTTTTTTCTTTTTGCACCCTTGTTGCGAGAAAATTTTACGTTCGATGCCACCTTTTTCATTCCCGTTCGCGCCGCTTTGAAGTGCATCCTCTCGTGAAATTCGTTCGAAGCTTGAAAAACGAAAAAGGTCCGCGGTGATTTATGCTTATCGATAAAGTGAAGCCTCGCCCGCATTGATAAGTGCGAACTTGCGTGTACCGGCTGAACGAACGTTCGCCCATGAAAAGTGCCGACGCGTTAGCAGAAGAAAAGAAAAAAAAGAAAAAAAATAAGCAGGAAAGAAAAAGAAAAACCGACAGCTATCCTTATCGACCACATGGCGAAATTCGCGCGAGAAGGAGCCTCGAGTCACTCGTGATGATCAACTTGTCGAGCACGCGAACGCCGGCAAACGAAAATTATATGGGTCAGAGTGCCGGCGAAAAACACATAGAGAGAAAGAGAGTTAGAGAGAGTGCAGCGCCGCCGCATAAATCACGCGATGCAACAGAGCGGCGGAGGCTGGCTGCCGGCCGGTGCACCCGCGCAACTTTTCGGCGCTCCTTGTAATTTTCGATCGATTCGCACGCCTGCTTCTTTTTTCTTTCTTTTTTTTTTCGAGACGCCACGGGCTTGCGATATGCCACAGGCCGAAGGCCCTAATTAATTGAGGTGATTTGCACGCGCGATTTGTTTGGAAATGTTATGTTCCTCGAGCTGAGAATAGCACGGCTATTAGGCTTTTTTTTCTTTTTCTTTCGTTCTTTTTTTATTCGTCCACTCTCACGGGCGGCGATCTTCGTCTTTTCGTCCTCCTTGCTCTCGAGCCTGCACTTATATTTGGCCGAAATTGTCGGTTTCGAAATGTTGAATGACTTATAATTGCTTGTTACTAAATCAGATTGCAACTGAGTATTTCATTCGTCATATTTCTTTGTTTTCGTAATGTCCAACATGATTCAATATCGTATACCATAGACGAACAAAAAAAGTCGATGGTGCGTAACGACATGAAAGACGGCGTTGTAGCAGTCGATTGACCCCGTGCATAGGCACAAAAATAGGAGTAGATCGAGTGGGTGCGCACACACTTCTTATCTTGGCCTGAACTTGCGGCTACCGTGAGTTTTGCATTGGTTCGCCTAAGTCGCCCTTTTTCCCTTCTCTCTTGCTCTCTCGCGGGGCAGCCGCTAATGATAGTCGTTGGGGCCGATAAGTAACGGGTGTCTCGTTTCGATCGGCCCATCCGATAGTTATCAATCGCACGCGCGCCCTGCCATTACATACGTGCTGGCCCTGTCTCTGTGTACACATATATTTTCGCTTTCGAGGGAGGTCCTCATTGTTCGTTAATTAACCGTCCTTTTACCTGTTTAATTAAATTGATCGCTCGATATGAACAAATGTCGCGGTTTCCGATTTAGTTACACGCTTTGCGCACCGAAAAGCGTCCGCAAATGATGTCACAGAGAGAAAGGAGAGCGCAGTTCTGAAAGGAGGGAGAGAAAAAAAAGCGCGCGAGGAAATTATTAGATGGACAATTATTGCAATTACGTCGTAAAATTATAGGCGAGGCGCATTATCTCGACACTATTTCTTTCCTTACACGCGCGGCTAAACATTGAATAATTATCCGATCGATGAAAATTGCATCAACAAAATCCACCCGGCGAGCGCGAGGGTCTAATTACACGTCTGTGCCCCGGGTAATAATAGCAGTCAGGAGAGTGGAAAAGAAAAAATGACCGCGTTGCAGGCGAAAATATTGTCGTCAAAAAGACAGATTCAGCTTCGGGCGAATTATATGATGAGGCGTGTCAGATCTGCACCAACGATACAGAGCAAAATGCTCGGTCGATAAAGTTCCGAAGCGTGACCAGATGAATTCCTTTCCCGCAACGAGAGTAACAAAAATATTACTGTATAAAACGCGCGAGATTGAGAGAGGATTTGCGGCTGCAAAGGGCACCGAAAGCAAGGCAAGCGGCTCTTACGGGGATTGTCACCACTGATAAATTGCAGATCAGGTGCGGCGAAGCTTTCGCTCTCGCGCGCGACAGAGAGCAACAATATCCATTAGAAGGAGTACACGCGAGAAATTAAATCGTCAGGCAAGAAGCTTCAGAAGTGTTGTTTCCCCTTGCCTAATCCACTTAACGTCCCCACCTACCTTTTCTCTTTGCACCAAGTGTTCATCCAACTTAACATGCTGCCGCGTCGCGTAAACCCACCACCTCGCGTTACAACTACGCTTCGTTAACGAAATTTCAGTTGAAACGGCTGCGGCGTTTGTTTAATGCATTCCCAAGTGCGCCGCTGATGCGCTGCTTTTTTTTCGTGAACGGGCACTTGACGTTTTGATCCCGACGCCGCTGACCCTTGATTATGCGCATAGGAATTTCGTTTGTCGATCGGACAGACACACACACACACACACACGTTACGAAGCCGAATAGGAATTTCTTTCTCTCAAACTGTCTGTCTCTCGATGCTCTGCTCACTGCGGGAACGTTTGTTCGACGAGCTTCGCTTTATTCGCTGGACAAACGTGAAACGCCACCTTTTTTGTTCCTCGCCGACAAGAGAAAGAGAAAGAGAGATAAACTATTTTATCTATACGCTCAGTCGGCTCAACGGAAAAAATGCAATTTATCTAAAAGCTCTCCCTCAAAGAGAGAGGAAGAGAGACGAAAAAAACGCGCATGCAGAGGTGGGATTAAAAAAAGAAGATCACGCTAATCCTTTTCGACGCGAAAACAAAATAAAACAAAAACAAAATGCGAGAGATCAAAATTGACAACACAAATTTAGTTGGTCGACAGTTAAGCTGCACAGCCGCCGAATTTTTTGTCCCGATAAAACAACAAAAACAGTGGCATCACGAGAGAGAGAGAGAGAGAGAGAGAGAGAGAGGCTCGTTAAGGCGGATTCACACCGCTGCTGCTGCGCGCGGATTTCCACGGGAAAGCAATAAACGCGCGTGCCGTTGCGGTTTTACTCTCCGCTCTCGCGGGTGCGATTTATGCCACGGCTTTTCGCTCTTTCAACATTCAGTTATGACTTTTTCCACGAGATATTTATCCCTGCTCGTTCATTTTGAAAGAGAGAAAAAAAACGCACAAAATCCGGTTTTAGATACTAATACTCGTAAAGATGTATGTTTTTTTTTTTTTTTCGAAAAGCTTGCGCGTCCTATAGAGAACTTTTTTTTTAGGGCTGTATTACGAAATGCCGGTAAAAGTATGCGCGCGCGATAGACAGAGACAACACGGGCAAAATGAAATCCGCGAAAAAGGAAGAAGGGAGGAAACGACATTTCTCCGTGTGCAGCGTTATCTGCGTGCACATCCACGATTCTTTTATCGCGCCATTGTGTGTCGACGAGGCGCGGCGGTATTGAACAAAACGCCTGCGCGACAGTCGCGAGATATACACTTTACTCGTTGTCGTTCCTCTTTATTCAAATCCGAAAGTCTTTCTCGCTCTCTCTCCCTCTTTCTGTTAGTTCGATTTTGATCGACAGACCGGCGTTCGGTGACAGATTACGAGCATATATCTTCCCAAAGAAACGTTTGGTATACAGTAACAGGTGAAGTTATATATACCAACATGATGCACACGTTGCACTTAATCACAGCAGCGCACATACAAATTGACGATGAAAAAACGTTTCTTGGAGCTGAGCGCGTAGGTGGAATCTCTGCTCTCGCGCGGTATATGCTAATGCGCAGCCCGTGTCAAACAATTTTCGGGCCCGTGTTATGTTAATTGCCAAGCGTTGTTTCGAAGCGAGCATGCAAGACGAGAGCAGGGTTATTATGGCTTGTGTACGGATGATAAATTTTTCTCCGATGAGTTTTGCAAAGCTCGCCGAGCTAATTATTGTTATTAGCACCGCCGCGCCGCGGCAGCGAACAATTGGCGATTGTGTCGCTCGTCGGAAGAAATCATTTTTCCTACCGCACCGTCGTTGCTGCGCTATTAAGCCATAATTGCTTGACCAGTGGCATTCCAATATAGTCCAGTGACGCTGAAAAAGCCAGCACAAGTAAATCCTCTCGAGTATCGTTAATGCGCGCAGACCACGGTCTCATTACAGCTGTCGCACTTCTATTCTCTCTCTCTCTCTCTCTCTCTCTCTCTCTCTCTCTCTCTCTCTCTCTCTTTCTCTCCCTCTCTTTGGTAATCAGTCGTGTTTGACTTGCTCGAGCAATTGAGCATCGCGCAAACCGCAAGCCAATAGGCACAAACCGGAAAGGGAAAGCTTCGGCCACTCTCGCCTCCGCCGATTTTTCTCATCGATCATTGCGGGAGAGACGAAAAAGAAGAAGAGCGCAGTCTCTATTTTTCGGAGCAGGTGACGAGGAACAAGAAGAAAAAAGAGAGAAAAAAAAGGGTTACAGCTTGATGGATCGCGCGAAACGCATCGCCCGCATTGGGCATATAGGCGCACAGATGGCCGAGATGCGATACAACAGTGTCAAGACGTGGAGAAAAGGGTTGATTTCGGGGTAATTGATTGGCGAGCGCGACTGCGCGCACAACAGCTGCATAATTCAAACGCACGGTGAACTTTAATTATTTCGTCATCCAGAGAAAAAAGAGGAACGGTGAGATATGCCGAGATCTCTCGCGAGAGGGCCATCTCGACATGATCTCGTGGCCCGCATATACGTCTGCACGGTAGACGAGCGAGAAAGAAACAATTGA